ATGAGTGTCTCCGGTCGTAAGCCACGCCTGATTTCAAGCTACCTATTCGCATGGCGTACCTCTCACGGAAGACCACTTGTCATACAGGCCGCGTCTGCAGTCTCTAATCTCATATCCTACAACACCGCACCCGCCTCTATAAACACGACCTCATCCTTCAGCAGTTAACACATCACACCTCTCACGTCTCCCCAAAAACAAAAACCCCCTTGCCCTTCCTAAACCCACCAAGCGTCCCCTGAACGGCACTCTGCAAAACCCCCTCCTCAGTACCCCAGCTCCAAGGAACCTCTTCGACAGGGACATCTTTAAACCTGCCCTCCCTAATCATCCCCAACACGTCCTCAATCGCAAACTTCCTCCCCGTAGGATCCCTCTCGTTCCACTTACTCAACCAGAACCCGACAAACCTGATATCCTTGAATATCAACAACCCCGTAGGCAACATGACGGGCTGCCTCGCCATCCCGCCGTACGAAACCATCGTCCCGCTCTCCCCCAAACTCCTCGCCACCGCCGTCGCCGATTTTCCGCCCACGCAGTTCAACCCGAGCCCGACCTGCTCCCTCCCTCCGCGGGTCAGCTCCGCAAGCCGATCCCGCCACTCCCTCGCCAGAAATTCCTTCTCCGTCACCACGACGGTGGCGCCCAACCCCGTCAGCTCCTCCTTCAACGCTTCCGTCTCGGCGGGCGTCTCCCTTTCCCGAACGACGTTGATACTCCTCAACCCCCACAACTTACCCAGTTGCACCGCTGCCCTTCCAACACCGCTATTCGCCCCATTCTGAATAAACCACCCGCCACTCCCCGGATCAAGAGCCTTCATGCCCCCATCGCTCCCCGCACGGATCTCCCCCGGCCCGTACGTCCTCAAGATCCGGTACGCCGTACACGGGTTCACACTAACCGTCGCAACCTGCGTAGGCGTCAACCCTTCCTTGCTAACCTTCATCACATCCTTCGACTCAGCGACAGCGTGCGTGCGCCACGTCCCGAACGAGCTGGCGTTGGGAATCACCCAGTCGCCCTTGCTCAGCCCGGAATCCTTGGATCCCACGGACACGACCTCGAAGACGCCCTCGTTTCCGGGAATCGCAGAGGGTTCGGGCGTGCCGATGAGTTGCGTAAAGGGGGGTTTGGCGCCGTACGTGCCCTGAATGGTGTTGATGTCGGCCGGGTTGATGGGGGCCGCGAGGGCGCGCAGGAGGACGGCGGAGGAGGGGATCGAGGGGGAGATGGAGTGTGTGTGTAGTCTGTTTTCGTAAGTGTCAGTTTTGTCTCTATTCGTTTGGACGGTGGGTGATAAGGCGGACTACGTACTGCAAAACGTCGCTGGGCTCGCCCTCCTTGGAGAACACGAGCGCCTTGGCCTGGGTATACCCGTACGGACCGGACTTGTATCGTCGCGCAACACGGGGGAGTAGGTACTGCGCCGCCGCCGTTCGGCCGGCAGCCGGTCGCAGCGCCGAGGTCAGCGGCCGAAGCGCCGTCGTCGCAGTATTTGCGCGCAAGCTCGCCGCCATTGTTGTGTTGGATGTGTCAATTGTAAACAGTTAGTCGGCAATTGGGCACAATGACGCAGTGTGGTGGTTGTGGAAAAGTGACGTTTAATCGCGGGACAAAAAAAAACCAAAAAAAAAACCGTAGCTCTAAGCTTCAGGTCCCGGCTCTGGCTCGGCAAACGGGCGACCGGTAGCTGGAGCTCCGTCTCACAATGACGTCCACAGGTTCCTTCCATTACGACGGACGAATCAGCCCACTAGCGCCGTCCCCTGGGATGTGCACGCCGCACGCCGCACAGGAAAGGGGCGGTGGTCCCCGCCGTTTCCGCGATTGGCTCGAGCTTCCCACCGCCACGCAACAGCTCCGGCAAAAGGGACGGACGCGGCACGCCGTCCAGGGTGTCTAAACATGAACGGCGGCGGCTCCGGGTATTCAACGGACCCACGGGGAATACGGTATGGTCGTGTACGACAGATGGTCTGGCAGTACGCTATTCCGCACAGGTACAAGCGAGCTTCCAGCGGACCGTCGAGAATGCATGGTGACATGTTCTAGCGATCTACTTTGCTGCAGCATCGTTCTCCAGCAGAAAAAAACTAGCCATGGCCTTACTAGGCTCTGCTGCGCGCTAAGAACAAACTGCAGATGCAAGCCTCTCGCCACATGATGTGTTCAAGGGGCCATAGCGTCAGGTTCGGATGACGCGGGGTCCATCTGCCACCATCTTCTTTTCTCACCAAGTTCGCTTCGTTGCGTCGGTCCTTACAAGCCGACTGGTATTCTCATCCAATCATAACGTGGCGAACCTCAGTGTAGGTGGTAAAATGTAGTCTCTATTACTGCTGCGGTTGCCACATAAGCACCAGCGGCATCAGGATGCACTTGGCCAACTGCTCCGTGATATGGCGTTTTCAGCCATCGTGGCTAAGCCCAAAGCATCTTCGCCAATTGATAGTTGCACACTGTCTCGTGCCATTGTGAAAGCTGACGCGAGCTCGAGTTGTGTCTCGTTCCTCCATCGGTCGTCAGCCTCGCCACCGTTTCTTAACCCCTACAAGCTTCTCCATCAAACCCGTAAACATCAACATGTACATTAGAAGGTAAGTCGTAGAAGTAGGAAAGGGTTTGACCAATAAGCCCGCAAGGAAAAGAGATTTGGGGTCCATGGTGCCTGTACCTCCCAGACAGCGCAATGAGATGAAAAGAAACACACAAAACAAAGAAAGTGTAAACAACGTATGTCAGAATGAGCCCGCGGCGCGAGCTGGGTATCTTGCATAACTTCTTCCAATCTTGCCTCCGCTCCTTGTCACATCTGCTCCGTTCCATCCCCGCCTCTTCGTCTCCCAGCCCTGGCTCGAAATGAAGTTCAACTTGAAGAAAACGCTAGGAAATCGTATTGGTGCATCCGCTCGGATTCGGTCGTTCGCTCGTCGGCGTATATAAGGTGGTTTGTTTTTCTTTCGCATTCGACAAAGAAGCCGGTTCCCGACTCCAAAAACCGGCAGCTCTGCAGATATTAGTCATAACTAGTGTCGGAATTTGTCCGCATCTAGTCAGTAATTATTTGATGTTCTTGAATAAGTCGTCTCCAAGACTGCCCCCGTCCCCTACGTCCAGCCTGGCCTGGAGGGCGCTTAGCTCGGGGATCATGGGCGGCGGAGGTCCTTGGACCTGAGGTGCCTGTGCCTGTGCCTGCGACTGAGGGATCTGCGGCTTGCTTTGCGTTTGGCTGCTGGTCTCGCTGACGTTGGGGTGCTCGTAGACGACACTGGATCGCTTTTGTGGCGGGGAGGATTCGCTGGTCCTCAACCTCTTGAACCAACCACTGCTTCGCTTCGATTTCTTCTCGTCGATGATGCTGCCTTGACTACGGCTCATGGGACGATTGTGGGCGGACGGAGTTTCGCCTTCTGCATATGCTTGGTTCAGTAATGTCCGGCTGAAGAGACGACGGATGCTGCCTTGTCTGCTTGACGCTGCTGGAGAGAGTGGTGTGTCATCCGAGAATCCTTTCGTACCATTGGTGGTGGCGGGCGAGCCTGGGACTGCTGCCGTATGACCATTTGTCTTGTCCTCGACCTTTTCCTTGACGGCGGACCCGGAGTCCTTGGTTTCGCTCACACGCGGGGTCTGGGGAGGCGTGGGGACCTCCTGGACAGGGCTGGGGAGCGGCGGGGGAATGTTGGTTCCCTCGGTCAAGGAGCCGAACTTGAAGTCCAGCTTGGGGAGCTCAAATCGTTTAGAACCGGTGGAAGGCATGGTGGGCGATGGTGCGGATCAGAAGGTTTGTGTCATCAATTGACTTTGTTGATGCAAAAGCGAGGTTGGGCCAGGATGGGTCCGTTTGAAAGGCGAGGTTTGCAAATGGCAATTGCAGGATCCGCCAGCAGCCAGCTCGACAAACGAACGCGTGACAGGCAGTGTGTGTGCGGTTCGCCCCGTGGCGTGTGTCGTTGTACGGAGCTGCAGGGGGAGTCGAATCGGACCCAGTGCGAGTGCGGGTTGTGGTCTGGTGGAACAGCGTGGATGTTGTGGACGAGAAGAGAGCGAGTGCGACGTAAGAGAGTCTGGGAGGAGTGGTATCCGTAGGGAAGGATCCGCTGATCTGGTGGATTTCGTAGGGAAAACGGAGCCGAATTGTGAAGGGTTCTGAGAGAGTGAATGTCGAGGTTGGTGACGGTACGGGCAGCATGCAGGGTATGCTTCAGAGCGAGATTGGGTATTCGTCTTGTGCAGTGGCGCACGAAGGAGCAGGCGGAATGGTGGACAGGCGATGCAGTGTACAGTACCAGGTACTCGTATAAATGCAGGGTTCGCAGTACGGAGTACGAAGCAGGTAAGGTAGTGTACGGAGTAAGGTAAATTGGTGCAGCAGGTTCGGGCTATGTACAGCCGCCGTGCTGGGATTCGAATTGGGTCTCTAGGTATCGGTACGACGAGGTTGAAGGCGGTCGTATCGAGCCACGATGGTGTTTGAGTTGGCCTTGAATCGTAGCCATAGGCTGAGCAGTAGTAAGGGCGAAGACTGAAAAGTCTTGGGCAAATCGAGAGGGCACAAACAGCGGTGCTGGCTCTACTTGAAGTCGAATCGAGTTGGGCTCCAAGGACGTGGGGAGCTGCAGTGGCCAGAGACGAAACGACACGAGACGGCGAGTGAGAAAGAAAGTAGGCCCAAGAGAGGAAGAAAGGCCCGGGGACGGTGGAGTAGAAGAATGGAACGGCAAGTCGGGGGTCAAATGGGAATTGAATTGGATGGGCAGTCTTAGACAGTAGACTGAGGTGGACGATTGCCCTTGGTTCGTTCCCTTTGCTTGCTCGGTGCTTTTTCTGCTTGGTGCTTGGTGCTGCTTGGTGCTGGCGTGGGCGTTAGATGGCGGGATTGTGCAATGGGATTGGACTGCTCGTCCAGTTGGACTGGGCTGGATGGGTGAATGGATGGATAGGTTGGATTGGATTTGAGATGTCCTGCAGGGGTCCAGCACTTTGCGTGTTTGTCAGTAACCAGGACTGCCAGGTCGTTCCCCGACGGGTGGGATGGCGTCGCACTCACCCTGGGGCCCCTAGGGGTGTCCGGGTACGCAAGTGAGGTCGTCTGACAAGGATGCGCCTGCCAACTCGGTGTCTTCGTCTTTTCTTCCGCTGTTCCTTTTTTTTTTTTTTTTCTTTCGTTCCTCTGCCTCTGCCCCCGAGTGATCAAAGTCCGCGCGAAGCAGAATTGCGGATTATTCCATGCATCGTACGGAGTACACATACTCCGTAGATCCCCTTTGCTTTTCTTCTTCTTCTGCTCCCTTCGAGTCTCCCTCATAGACGAATGAACCCCGGAGCCCCATTGCTTCAGGTTGGTGTTCTGATCTTTTCGGGAAGCGACCTGAACCTGGCATTCCGCCTTGCTGGGATGGCAGTTTAAGATGCCAGATGGAGGCGCCGGGCTGGACCTTTACCAACATCTGTGCCCCCCATTCTGGATAGCTCTGGCACTCTGCTTGTTTACTTACATAAGACAGACGTCCGTTCTTCCAACCGTGCGAAGATTGACCTCATCAGGTAGGCACAAGACGAAAACGGGGACCGAGAGCCCACGTGAAAGTTGGAAGTGGCACTGACATTGACAATTGCAATTGCGCCTGCCTGCCTCCACTGCCTGCCACTTCAAATGCACCAACCGTGCCTGCCTCTCTAATCTCTCTTCCTTCCTTCCGCGGCAACAAAAGTTAGTAGTGCCCGTGGCATCTTGCCCGTCATGCCCGTCCGTCCCTTCCCCTCCTCCATCGCCCCTCCCAGCTAGGTACCTACCTACCTAAGGTTGGATGCCACTGCCTGCTGCATGAACATTGCTTACCTAAGTGCATGTTTCCCGACGTGCAACACGTAATCTTAGAGTTCGCATTATCGACTTCTCCAATCACCAAACGTTGTTACCTTATTTTCCACTGCAAATTCATCTCATTCGACTAGACGTCAAACGTTTAGCATGATCGGCGGTGTCTCCCGAGTCACAGAGCCTGTCATTGGCAGCAGGGGCTTTCTTTGCTCTCAGCTGCCATACGAATACCTTAGTGCCAACTCTGCCATACTCTCGACTGTGCCGTCCCGTCCATGGTTGTCACACTCTTACCTTCAAAGCTGCGGCAAAAGACGTGGAAAGCTTGGCTTCACAGCCACTGATATGCAAGAGAAACGCGATCCAAGATGCACCGAGTCGACGCCTGCAGCAAATTGTCCGTGAACCTGCACTAGCACAACTTGCACCACACCCTCTTAGCTGCACTACTCAGTCCACACTGCTGCACACCATACATATCACCATCAAGGTCTGATGGATGCATACTGGCGCGTCTCAACAGCTTTGTCTGGCACGCGGTAATCCCATCCGCTACTCCCTTCTACTCTAATACGACGTGTAGATTTACAGCGCCAACACCGGATTGTCATCTGCACGAGCATTCCTCGGAACAACACCACAGTCATTTGCTAAACATTTGCGTTCCTCTGTCTCGACTACGCTGGGTCTAGCAAATGTAAAACCATCACACCATGTCTTCCAAGTTTTCTCTCCTTCGGGCCATTACTGACTCCCATGTCCACGCCGCGCGCCGCCTAATACCATGATTTAGGTCCGTTCCTGAGCTAGCAGACCACATCCAACCAGCTCCGCCAACAAGATATCACCTTCTCTCTAACATCCTGGCAATCCGGCCATGACCCGGCCTCCGTTTGAAGCTCCATGCCTTCCCTACAAGTACAGAGACGTGACCCCGTCTTAATTGGTCCGGTGTGCTCGACGGTCCGGCAGACCAAGCAAACGCTCAAGGAGCCGATGCGCCGAGCCGTGTCGCCAATAATCCCGTTTCAGCAGTCCAAGTTAACCTGGGTTATCTGCCGCATATGGGGACACTCAAGGGAAGCTGCATTACAGCTCGCCGCCTGTTCCTACAAACGTCAAACGCCCCCCTCCGCCATCCCGCTTCTGATCGGGTTTGCAGCCATTGGTCTGGCGAGGCCGCCTACGGATACCGTTGATGGCATGGCTACTCGGCTAGCTATCGGAATTTTTTCATGTGGCGATCGTCGCAAGGCTTAAGACGACAACGCTATTCAAATTTCATGCGACAGTCACGACCATGGTGCGAGAAAGATCGTCATTCAGCACGAGTCAACGACACCCGTGAATTATTACCAAGGCTTGCGCGATGCTGACTGGCTATTCTGCCTTAACCCAGTCTCACGTACGGTCATTTATCGCGTTTTCGACTTCTCGGTCAAGCGAGAAACATTGGATTCCCAAACAGGAAAACGGCTCCATTCCGAATCTCCTCGCATGCAGGCAGGCCGCTAGCACCAATCCCCACGACCATGGCCCACGATCCTTGATCCTTGAGCGCGTGGTGGTCCCTGGCCGCCCCCATCCAACGAGAAATCAGACCAGGCAACCCCTATTTCGCATTTTCCTGTCTTCTCTTCTTCAAAGATTCAAAGGTCCCGCGCACAAGATGCTTTTTCTGCTCTAGCCCGAGACCAGGGCCAAGAGTTTAGAATTGGACGAGAAAATTTGAGCTTTCCCACTTGATCGTATATCCGTATCGTGGCTTATCAATGGGAAATGCCTATCAAGGACACGGGCCGTTTCATGCAGCCCACAGTAACTCCAAGAGCCTGGCACGCATCACGAGGCAAAAAAGTTCATCCCCGCTGCCCGGGTCTGCAAGCAAGGGCGTTGAAACATTACATGGAAACACATTCCCTATTGCCGGTACGGACATGCAGGTACCTCTGACTTTTGTTTCCTCTGGGCCGTATCCAAATCAGCCGCGCTTACCGTCAAAACATGACATTTTCATCATGGGTTTATCGTGGATTTCCTGAATTTTGGCTCGACCTCTTTGGGTCTTTCTAATATCCGATTCTTCACAAGCAGACGAGCAACGATGTTACACCGTTGTCCACTCTGGCTAGAAATGTCAGAGCGTTTGCGCCGAACGTGGCTCCGGCGCGCTGATAGACCCAGAAACGATCAGGCATGACCCCATTTCTCCTACCCTGGTCCGAACGGTGCTTGCGTATCGTGGTTCGCGCATCACCCGGCGTTGGCAGTCGGACACGGAGCCCAAGCAAATTCCCAGGTGCACAAAAAGACAGCCTCCATGACTCAATCGCGAGCTGCCCGCTGCCCGCTGCTACTTTCAAGATTACGTGACGGTGCCGGCGGAGCAATTCTCGGAACTGTGGGAGCTCGGGACCTCGCCCCGGCCCCCAGCTGGAGGAGCAGAGAACATCCATGGACGAGGAAGTATACGGACTCTCACCGAGGTCCGAACCTCAGACCCTTTTGCCGTCATGGGCCCGAGTTGCATAGTGGCTTCGCACTGGCCATCCGCGGGCCGGCGCGGAACCTATCGGACGACAATTGGTCTCCGAGACGCGGAGGCAAAGCTGGCTACACCCCAATCCTCGAAGGTGGTGCCCGCGGTCCAATGGACAAGAGTCAGCACTCTCGCCTGTCGCCTGCGATATGTTTTGCATCAATGCGAGCGAAGAGTTGTGGCATCGAACAGGCAAACGCCGCTCGCTACACAATTGTAGGTAAGGCGAGACTTGGAGGCCCATGCCGCGAGTGGCTGCAGTGAAGGGCTAGACCGTGATTCTTTACCCTAGCATGGCAAATGGAAATCAGAGCTACCTCGAGATACAGGCCTAACAGTGTACAAACCTCGTTGCAGAGAAAGAAAACGATCCGAGCGAGATGACACTCACCCATGCACACACACACACGGCCAGTCAGAGAAAACGGGACAGGACGCTCTGGTCCACTGCCATTGCATTGTCACTTTTTTCGTCGCGATAAATCTTCGCAGTCGATGCCATAGGATATACGGTCCGTAGCAGTTACGACAGCGACTCATAGTTGCACGAAAATGGGTTGTGGTGACCGCCGCTTGGGGCCAAGCAAGGTGACTTCCACGTTACGATGCCCTCACTCTACCACATACGGCCATACCCATTAGAAAACTCGGGATCCCGTCCGCTCTCCCTTAAATAAGCCAATAAGGGCCGGCTTATTTAGAAGAGCGGGATCACGGATAACTTAGCTTATAAAACGGTACTTAGCTATGCCTCGCCCCTAGTACCCCTATACTGTCCTTTATTTATAAGTTATTTTAATTTACCTAACTACTTATTATAACTTAATATATATAACTAAGACTAGGGCCCGCTCCATAAGCTTATAATAGCTATAATATATTATATATATAAAAATATAAGAATATAAAATAATTTTTATAAAATAAAAAAAACTATAAAATAAGTTATATAATAATAAGAAATAAGAAGGTCCGTATATTAAAGATATATAGTAGTTTTTTTTCCGGCTTTATAAGCACAAAAGATCGACCTTAATAAGATTACGTTTTTAAAAGAAATTATATAATATAATATACTTTTTAATTATATAATATGTATAATATACCCTAAGTACGTATTTAACGTAATATAGTAATTTTAATACGAAAACTACTATATAATTTAGAATAAGTAAGCTATTTTATAGTAGTACTAATTAAAAAGGTTAATAATAAAAATTAGTTATAATAATTAGTTATAATAGTTAGTTATAATAGTTAGAAGTAGCCCTTAATTATAAAGGTTCTAAACTTTAATAGTAATATAGAGGTTTTTAAAAAAAGGGCTAAATAAGCTAATATTTATTATTTTACTATACTATAGCTCATAAAAATTCTTTTTATTTTTATTATTCCTAATATTACTTAAAGCTCTATTTAAACTAAATAAATTTACTAAATAAATTTACTAAATAAACTTATTAATATATAAACTATTACTTAGATAGCTAATTAAATAACTAGTTAAGAGGTTAGCTAGTTAAAATATTACTTTAATAAGAACCTAAAGATACTTATTAATAAATCTACCCCTCTCGGGCTAGGCGCCCTTAGCTAGCTCGACGCTATAATTATTATAATTAATATAAATATACTTAAAAAGTAATAAAGTACTTTTTAATAATACGGAATCTAGCTAAGTAATAATATAAACGCTATAAATAATTAAGTTAATACCGACGTTAAAATTTAGTATATTAGTATTAACTTAGAAATTATATTTTATAAAACTAAAAATCCCTTTAATACGGCTTATATTATAAATATAAAGGAATATATAAGGGGCTTTTTAATTTTTAATAAAAAGGAGTATATAATATAAAATTTAGCTATTTATATAAGCTAGTATTAAGGGGTCTTATATAGATTAAAATAAATATAACTTACTTTTTAAATAGTTAGAACTTAGAGGATTTTATATAGAAGAAGGTCGGGAGCTATTAATAAAAAGAAAATAATAGTTAAGTTAGTTAATTATTTTAATTAGTAGTTAGGTATAGAGCGTAATATACCTAGTTTTCTTTAATACGTAATATATAGTACGGCCC